CAGGAGTTTTGCCAATTGGGGACCCTTATGTGAGCCCGAGAGAGAGTAGTGCTAATCCTCCCTTCTCTGTCCTATCTCTTCCCTCCTCCCTTCTCGCTTCCCGTCCTCCCCCGAAGGCCTTCGGAGGGTCCTTTGAGAGGTCTCTTGAAGCACCTTGGGAGCCTCTTCGGCCGTTTTGGGTCCATCTCGGGCCGAATTGGCCGAATTGGAGGCCTTTTGCCATCTTTGAGGCCACTGGGGCCATCCATGACCGACTTTATGCCGACAAGGGCCCTTTAGGATAGCCTTTTGGTGAAATTGTTGACGCTTCGCGTATCCCCACCAGCCCATCCAGAAACGATGCTCAGGGGAGTTGAGGTGATCAGGGAAGTCGGGGAGCATGCAGAATAACAAAGGGCGGGGGAAGCTGTCACAGACCCCGAGAGGGGGAGGATGGAAGAGGAGTCGTCGTCGTCGTCGTCGTCGTCGGAGGAGGAGGAGGAGGAGGAGGGGGAAGAGGAGGAGGAGGAGGAGGAGGAGGAGGACGGAGAAGGAGGAAGAATCGGAGGAGGAGGAGGAGGAGGGGAAGGAGCTTCTTGGGGGTCTTTTGAGGGCCTCTTGGAGGGCTTTTTGGGCGCCTTGGGGCATCTTGGGCGCCTCTTGGGACCCTCTTGAGGCGCTCTGGGGAGCCTTCGGGGCGCTTTTGGGGCCATCTTGGAGGGAGTCGATCAAACAAGAGGGGGGGTTTAATTAGCGCCCCCCCTCGGAAGCCCCTAAAATCGCCTCTTGGACCCCTCTTGGAACGCTCTTGGAGTGCTCTTGGGCGCTCTTGGGGCCGTCTTGGGGCTCTTTTGGGGCTCTCTTGGGGCCCTCTTGGGCCATCTTGGAGCCATCTCCAGGCCTCGGATGGCCATCGGAAGCGAAAAGGCGAGAAAGCAAAAATCATTGATTTTCCTTAGGTTTTGGGACGATTTTGGCCTCTTCGGGGCCTCCTTGGGGAGCTGTTTGGCCACTTGGAGTTATCTTGGGGCCGTCTTTGGGCTTCTTGGAACCATCTTAGGAGCCATCGTGAGCGATCTTGCGCTATCTTGAGCCATCTTGGAGCTCATCTTGGGTTCTCTGAGGCGCTCTTGGAGCCGTCTTGGGCCATCTTGGACGCTCTAACTACCCGCGGCCCCCCCCGTCCAGGTCCAGGGGAGGGGGTAGGGGGAGGGGTAAACCCCTCCCCAAGGGGGAAGAGGGAGGGGTGGAAGAGGATCTGCTCTAGACCACCTACGCCCAGAGGGCTGGTGGGATTATCTTGGGCGGACGTTGCTGCCCGATGTTTTCTGTTATTGTGGGTGTTTTTTTCCCCCGCAATGCTACATGTTATTCAGAGGTTTATCCGCCAAGCATTTCTTTGACAAGTGACACGAGGTGGCATATTCGTGTGTCTATTTGCCTTCGGCCCATCTCGCCACCTTGGCTTGGTCGTGAACAAGATGCCTCTTAGACGCCACTTGTTGTCTCTTGGCACGCAGGATGAGGGCCTCTTGGAGGTCTTGTTGGGGCGTTTTGGGGCCCTCGTGGAGGCCTCCCGGGGGCCTCGTGGGAGCTCGTGGAGTCTTTTCTCAGACAGGGCAAGTGTTCAGCTTTCCGTCTTCGCTTGGCTTTTAGCCAGACGCGCAAATGCATGGGCGGGTGGGCGGCCGTTTTTGTTTGGGCCCGAATATGCAACCTGCTAGCTCGAACATGCTCGACGACGGCGAGGACCGTGGCGATGACGATGGCGGTGGCGACCGTGGCGACGAGGAGATAAAAGGCGAGCGTGACGGTGGCGACAGCAATTGGAGTGGCGCCGACGGTGCGGGTGGTGTTGAGCGAAGAGGCTGCTGTCGGTGGTGGCGACGGCGCTGGACATGGCGACTCTGGGCGCCGTCGGCTCCTTCTTCGCGGAGCTCTCGCGCTGCCATCCCGGCTGGGCTGCTTCTCCTTCTCCCTCTCCGCTTGCGCCTCCGAGCTGAGGGTGTGGGCTTCCCCCAGTGGCCCCACGTGAGCCCTACCCCCACCGCCCACGATTCCGGAGGGGGGGGGGGGGGGGCTCATTTCGTTCGAGAGGTCCCGAGCGGAGTGACCCCCCCCACCCCCCTCAGAAACCGTGTGGGGGGGGGTGGCGGCAGGGGGCTCCCGCGTGGCCACGGAGCTGGGCGGCGGCGGCGAGGAGCCCAGAGGCTCGGTGCGCAGGGGCAGCCCCGTGGGCCGTGGCCGCGGGGATGAGGCTCGTGCGGCCTGGAGAGGCGCCGCCCCGTCGAGCGCTGCGGGCCCGGCCCCCCCCCGCGATCTCGGATATGTTAGCGGGGCGGGCTGCGCGCGGGGAGCCCCGCGGCCGGCGGCGGTGGGCGGCGGGCGGCGGGAGGGCGCGCGGGCCAGCCGCCTCCCCCGCGGCAGAGAGTTCTGGTCGCGTGGGCGGCGTGTGTCTGTGTGTGTGTGTGTGTGTGTGTGTGTGTGTGCGGAGCTGCCTTTTATTCACCACCCACCGAACGACCCCAACCCAACCCGAAGGCCTCAATTTTCCCTCCATTTCCAGTGGGGGGGGTCGGGGAAAACTGAACAAACACATGGAACCCGTACCCCCCCAACCCGAAATTCGGGTCAAATTCGGGTCTTCGGGTTGGGTTGGGTTGGGGTGGTCTGGTAAGTAGTCATTTATTGGAGAAGAGCAATCGCCATAAACATAAACTTTTGGCGCTCAGGACTTCTTGGATCTGCGTTGGGCGCCCCCGGCGGTGCCTCCGGCGCCGCCCCTGGCCCGCTCCGCGCGACAGGGAGGGGGGTCGAGCGCAGATCCAAGAAATGCGCGCGGAGCGCCAAAAATTTATGTCCATGGCGTTTTCTCTTCCACTTTATCAGCGGACGATCTGTATGCACCGTACCGCGTTGACGTCTCCCGAGGCTTTGTCGATATTCGACCCATGAATGTTACGGTGCACCGGACCGCGTCGGAGCGAGGCCTGAAGGGAGTTCAAACATGGTACGGTGCATAAGCGCCGTTCTCGTAATCTATATGTATGATGATGATGATGGTTGTTATCATTATTAGTAGTAGCAGTAGCAGTAGCAGTAGCAGTAGCAGTAGCAGTAGTATAAGTAGTAGTAGTAGTAGTAGTAGTAGTAGTAGTAGTAGTAGTAGTAGTAGTAGTAATAGTCGTAGTCGTAGTATAAGTAGTAGTAGTAGTAGTAGTAGTAGTAGTAGTAGTAGTAGTAGTAGTAGTAGTACTAGTAGTACTAGTAGTAGTAGTAGTCGTGATCGTAGTAGTAGTAGTAGTAGTAGTAGTAGTAGTAATAGCAGTAGTAGTAGTATTAGTATTAGTAGTAGCAGCAGTAGTAGTAGTGTTAGTAGTAGTACTAGTAGTAGTCGTAGTCGTAGCAGTAGTAGTGGTAGTAGTCGTAGTAGTAGTAGTAGTAGTAGTAGTAGTAGTAGTGGTAGTAGTAGTGCTAGTAGTAGTAGTAGTAGTAGTAGTAGTAGTAGTAG